AAAAAAAAAAAAAAAAAAAAAAAGAATCCCCGTACCATTAGCAGTCACTCCCCATTTACCTCTCCACTCCCATTTCCTGGAACCATGAATCTGCTTTCTGTCCATGGATTTACCTATTGTGAACGTGACATATAAATGGAATCATGTAATACGAGGCCTTTTGTGTCTGGCTTCTTTCACTTATTATAATGTTTTTGAGGTTCATCCACATTGTTGTCTGTATCAGTACTTCATTTTTATGGCTGGTTAATCTTCCATTGTATGGATACACCACACTTGATTATCCATTCAGTTGAGGGCCATTTGAATGGTTTCCACTTTTTGGCTATTATGAATAATGTTGCTGTGAACCTTCATGTACAGGTCTTGGTGTGGACTATGTTTTCATTTCACGAGCAAGGGAGGGGCAGAGAGAGAGGGAGACACAGACCCTGAAGCAGGCTCCAGGCTCCGAGCTGTTCGCACAGAGCCGGAGGTGGGGCTCGAACTCTTGAACTACTAGATCATGACCCGAACCGAAGTCGGATGCTCAACTGACTGAGCCACCCAGGTGCCCCACTTTATGTTTAACTTTTTGAGGAACTGCTGGTCTGTTTTCCATTATTGCACCATTTTACGTTCCCACCAGCCGTGTATGAGGGTTCCAGTTCCTCCACATCCTCCTCCTCAACACTTGTTATTGTCTGTCTCTTTCATTGTGGCCATCCTGGTGGTATGAAGTGATGTCTCATTGTAGTTTTGATTGGCATTTCCCTACTGGCTAATGATGTTGACCGTTTTTTGCCCATTTAAAAAAAATTTTTTTTTTTTTTTTTTTATTGATGAGTTGTAAGAGTTCTTTATATATTCTGGATACAAGTCTCTTATAAGGTACGTGGTTTGCAAATGTTTTCCCCCATTCTGTGGGTTGTCTTCACCTTCTGGATAGTGTCCTTTGAAGCACAAAAATGTTAAATTTTGAGGGGTGTCTGGGTGGCTCAGTCAGTTAAGCGCCTGACTCATGATGTCAGTTCAGATCTTGATCTCATGGTCATGAGTTCAAGCCCTGTTTTGGGCTCCACGCTGGTCATAAAGCCTGCTTTAAAAAAAAAATTAAAAAGTTTAATTTTGGTGAAGTTCAGTTTATCTTTTTTCCTTTTGTTTTTTGTGTCATCGAGTTATTTTTTAATATAACCTGAATTACAGAAAAATTTAGGAAGCCATTGTACTTGAGGTCTGGTGGATAGCGGTATTTGAAGAAAATTTAAAAGAAAATGATTTCCGTTTCATTTTAATCGCAGCATACAGTCAAGGTTAGGCTTTAAGGGAAAATGAAGCTTTAAAAAGATACTTTTGATAAAAAAAAGTGACTTTGCAATCAAATCGAAACTTTGAAGCTTAAACTCAGTATTGATGGTCTGGGTTTTCTTGCAGACTTTCATATAAACTATAAGCTTCCATATGGTGTGATGGCGGTGCGCGTGCTATTTTCTCTCTCGGCAGTAGCCCATTTCTAAATGTCCCGCGTCCCCGTGCTTCCTCGGGGCTGCAGGACACCCCCAGTTAGGCGTTTAGGGCATCGGCATTTGCCGTACCGTTCACATTTTTGCAAGTTTTTTTTTCTTTTTGAGATGATTTGAGAAGAGTATAGGGATATATTTTTTGCTATAGTTGAGAAAATTGATAACTCGGGGGAAAGTATGGGCATTTTTATGATGGTATAATGCGTTTCCACATAACCGAACCGTTTTAGAGAGTGTGATTCCTTTTTATTAGGCATGTGGGCATGGCGATCTCAGCATCGTTACCTCTGCACTTGGAGGTTTGTGCAGGGTCTTAGGAATGTGGGGGAGGCATCTTTGGTGGGGGATGAGCTGCATCTACAGGGGTGAGCACGACTTAAGGAGCAAGAGGAAGAGTTCAGAGGGAGCGAGGTGAGGCACAAAGCCTCGCTGTGAACGTTTTGCTACAGGATCCCCCTCAAGGCACGAAAGCCAGTTTGCAGTCCCGGAGCCGGCCGGTGCCATCGGTAGTCGAGGGATCTAAGGGCATCCACTGAAGCTCTACCCGAGGCCGTCCTCTTCCCCTCCCCTCAGCCACTTACCTTTGTGGACTTCATGTCCCATCAGGTGGCCCGCTGCCGGAGCTGTCTCGGTGCTGTCGTCGTTGTGAGGGTGGCGGCAGAAACCCTTTCCAGGCCCTGCCTGAAGCCGCTGGGCCAGGCTGCCTCGGCCTCGTGGCCCCCTCCACCTTTCTGAAGTTTTCTCCTCCTGCTGCTGAGCTTAGCCTGTGATCAGACCCACTTACCCTGGATCAGATCCCCCTGCGGCAGAATCAGAGTGTGGTGAGGCTGCGCTCTGAGGACCAGCATGTGGCCAAAACGATCACTGAGACGTGGCTCGGGAAGAGCTCACCCTGGAAACTGGCGGGGAGGCTCTAACGCACTTGAACACACCAGTTTCCCTCTGGCCTTGAGTCTCTGAGCAGCGGGCGACGCAGCTGGCGGCATCACAGAATGGTGGTGTATGGAAATGAAGTCCCCCAGCACCTGGGATCACGTGTGGCCCCCTGACATGTCACACGTGGGGCCTGGGCCTGAGGGAGCCACAGGTGTGCACACGGCGTGTGCCCCTCACCGAGGGGGACTCTGGGCAGAACCCCCCACACTGTCTAAGCTGTGCTTCGGTTTTTGGTTGAGGAGGAACAGTTGCACTGTCTACCACGTACCTTTCATTTGTGGGTCTTGCCACGTTGTAACGCATACGGGTTTGCGTGCAGGCTGTCACTTCCCCCAACCCCAGGTTGCACAAGGCAGTGACTAGGTATGGCCCCATCCTCAGTGTCTGGCACGCGGGAGGCCCCACTAAGTGCTTGCTGAAAAACTGCTTTCCCGCTCGTTCCATGGAACTTCTGGGGAGATGCTTCAGAGTTCTGCAGACATGTCATTCAAAACATGATTAAACTACTGAAACTCTGTTAAAACTTAGCCACGGTTAGATGCGCTTTATTTATATCACATGCTAATGGATTGCATACTCCTAGTCTGTCAGGTTAACCTGTTTTGTTCTAAGGTTTATTTATTTTGAGAGTGTGCACGTGTGGGGGCGGGGGAGGGGCGGAGAGGGAGGGAGAGAATCCCAAGCGGGCTCCACGCCGTCAGCACGGAACCCGACACGGGGCTCGATCCCATGAACCCCATGAGATCATGACCTGAGCCAAAATCAAGAGGGACGCTCAACCGACTGACAACCCCCCCCCCGCGCCCAGGTTAACTTGTTTTTGTGCAGCTGTTGAAATAAAGCAAACAGGTGAAAGACCCTTAGCTCTGCAGCTGCTTATTTTCATTCCACCTGCAGCTAACATTCCAACAGCTAACAGGAAACCCTCGCATATAACTGCAAAGGCAGCTGTACCTAAGGGGTGAGTAAGTCAGCTGCCTTGAGATCTCCCTCCCCACCTTTTCCTACCTGTGTGACCTCAAGCAAGGTCGCAGACCTCTCTGAGTCGGTGTCCTATTCTGTGATGTAGGCATAGGGAGACACTTGAGAATGGATGCAGTGAAGCGGAGTAAATGGCTTACGGGCTTCGTCCGTGTTAGCTGTCGTGCTTGTTGTTGCTGTCGTTATTGTATCTTGAACCCTAGATGTCAGCATTTTGTAGAGTCTCATTTATTTGTTGATGGCATTTATAAGTTACGAGCTGCTGTCTGTAAGTTCCACAAAGATGCCCTGTGCTTAAAAAAGATGTGTGTGGGGGGTGTAAAACTTCTGGTTTAGATCAAGAGAGGCTGGTGCGCTAGCCCAGCTTCACGTAGACAGGCCGTCACTCCGAAACCTTCACATTGAATTTGGTCTCTAGGGCTTCCTCGTGTTTGCCCGCATAATCCTCTTTATTTGTTCTGCCCGGGGCTCTTAGTGCAATTTGATGTGAGAGATGGTCGTGAAAGAAACCAGCCTTTCCTTAAAACCGCCTGTGAAGACTTCTTCTTGTGTTTGTTCCACAGAAACTTCCTGCGCTCCTATCATGAGCCTGGCACTTTGGTGAAACGCCTTTCCCTTGTCCATGTCCCAGTGACTCTTCCCAACGGTCCTAGGAGGTGGGTACTGTTGTGGCCATTGTCCCCTGAGCTTCAGGAGGGCACGTAGCTTGGCCCGGGGTGTGTACCCTTGGCCTCTGTGCCAGGAACTGTTCTCCGTTCTGACGGTGGGCTAGATTCTGTCACGGGAAAGTTTTCCCCTCTGCCTTGGCTGTCCAGAAGCTTCTGGACAATGCGCTGCCTTAGCCTTAGCCCAGCATTGCCTGTGTCGCATTGGTGCGCCTCAAGACCCTTTTTTTCCCCTTGTTTGTGCTGAGTTTATTTAATTCTTTGAAATAGGGTTATATTCTAAGCCCCTCAAAATTTGGGCAAGTTTTGAAGAATGAGTGAAATATTTTACATTTTCATCCTAATAAAATTTTATAGTTGTCTGAGTGTGAAACTTTGAAAAGAAGGGTGGGTAGGCAAAAAACTTCTTGAAAGAATGATGATTAAAGTGTAATATTGATTCTAGGATTTTTTTTTTTAGGCTGAGAAAGGTCATGGACAGCTTTCAGGTGTGGTTTTCCTTTTATTTTATATTTTATTTTATTTTAGTTAGATGTAGGCAGTTTAAAAAATTCTTTTTATGTTTATTTATTTTGGAGAGAGAGAGACAGTGCGAGCCGGGAGGGGTAGAGAGAGAGGGAGAGACACAGAATCTGAAGCAGGCTCCAGGCTCCGAGCTGTCAGCACAGAGCCCGACGCGGGGCTCGAACTCACAAGCCGTGAGATCATGACCTGAGCCAAAGTCAGACGCCTAATCGACTGAGCCACCCAGGCACCCCACTGCTGGTCTTCCTTTTAAATGAAGAATCTAGCTGCTAATACAGCCAGATATTTATTTACATTTTAGTTTTTGTTTTTACTCTTAAAACTATGAAAGCAAATTGAAAGTGCATTGCTAAGGTGAGCTTCCTAATTTTTTCTTTGCAGATAATGATGCTGCTTGAACTGAACAATTAAGGTAACATTTATGACCTATGTAATATGCTTTCTTATTCAGGTTTCTTTATCGAATTTAGCTGAATTGTTAAAGTCATGTTTTAACCTTGGTGAGGATTATTATTATTGCCCTGGGGTAGTCATTCCAAACTGGGACGAATAAAAGACTTCACATTACGTTTTCAGGTGAGTTCTGAAAATAACATAACAGTATACCTTTATTCATTCAGCTTATACTGAAGTTTCAAAGCATTTTACTATTTTTGGAAAAGAAAAGGGACATTTTTAGGGTCTGTAAGCCAATTATGGTTATGTTCTTGTGTAGCTTGTCTGAAGCTAGCTTTTGTTCGATTCAGTGGGAAAGAAGATAGTTTATATAATTATCTGTATCATGTGTATGCCTGTAGACAACTGTACAGTGAGAATCAGAAATGGCTGTATATAGCTTAGTTGTTTTAGTGAATGCCAGCATACTTGCAAATAGGATGGCCGGGAGGCCCCAGAGCATACGTGGGAAATGTACAGAATCGTACCCTCCTTCCTGGTGCGTGGGTCCAGCATCCCCCAAATTTGTTTAATCAGAGTAATGGCACAAACTAGGAGATCCTACATTATTACGAAAAAAGAAAAGAACTGTGTCAAAGTATCCTGATAAAATGATAAATGGCAAATTGCAAGGAATTTCTAAGGCTTAATTTGGTAGATACGTGCAACTGGTCACCAGGGTGGAGGTTGTTAGATTGCACCGTCTGGTTTATAATTCGATGTGGAGATCCTAACAATTCAATGAATGCCGTGCGGTAAAACTTTGTGTCTGGTAAGATAATTGGAGACTTACTCGAATACTGGGATGAATGGTCTTTGGGAATCACGCACATCTCTTACGTCCTCATACCACAGCATGGGACTTTTGTGTTCACGTATCTTGGAAATCTTGTGAAAGGAACAACCTCGGTCGGGATGGGGGCCTCCGGGGAAGGTTCCCAGTGTAGGTGGTGGCGGTGCCGCGTGGTTCCGAGGTGGTTGGGATGAAGTGGGGCAGGGTCACCAGCAGAGGAAGCAGCGTGAGCCGGGGTGAGAGGCAAGGGAGAGCCTGGGAGCCGAGCGAGTGGAATGGAATTTCAGTTCCACCTGACCGTGCGTTTCCAGATGACTGAAGCCAAAGATGGGGAGCCAGGCTAGGTGTCTTGTCTTAGAAGTTGGACTCCGATCCGAATGTCTGGAGAACCACCGAGGAACGTTAAGGATGGGGCATTAGCCCAACGCTTTCCCCATGTCAGAATAGCTGGTGTGCATTTTTGGTTTTGTTAGACTTTTTTCTATAAATCAACTGTTTAGGCAGGATTGCAAAGAATTAAGCCAAGGGACCGATTTATACATGTGTCGGGGGTGGGGGGGTGGGCGGCGGGCCTTGAGACTGTCTCAGTTTCCCCTCTAACACCAACCTAGTTTGAGCTTTGAGCAGAGTGATCCTTTGAAGTCAAAAACGTCTCCAAGAGGTATGTCCTTCGATTGCCTCACAGTTTTGTTGGTCGGTTTAAATTGTATCAGTTGTAGTGGTAATTAGTAGAAATGTAAAAGAACCAGTAAGAGGGACAGGTTGCTACAGGTTTTACCAGAATCGTGTAACATGTAGTTGGGAGCGCAGAATTCTTACACATTACAGGAAGCGTTTAATTTCATAATACCGGCTTCACATTTGCACATAACCAGGAGATAGCCAGATAATGTTTACTGCACTGATTTTGCAGATTCATCCTAGTCAGTTTAACCATTATTGTTCATGTCTTGATTACCTTCCCATTGAGGGATTCCCAGTATGCACTTTCATGTTAGTGACCATTTTTGCTCCAGAACTGTACTGGCCACTACAGTCATTGTGTCTTTAAATGTGGCTATTCAAATCAGTTACAATTTAAAAAAAAAATTAAAATTCGGGGCACCTCGGTGGCTCAGTCGGTTGGGCGTGTGACTTCGGTTCAGTTCGTGATCTCACGGTTCGTGAGTTTGAGCCCCACGTTGGGCTCTGTGCTGACGGCTCAGAGCCTGGAGCCTGCTTTAGATTTGGTCTACCCTCTCTCCCCCTCTCCCCTCTCCCTCTCCCCCCTCTCCTCCCCCCTCCCCCATCCCTCTCCCCTTCTCCCCCTCCCCCTC